ATGGGTACAAATTAAGTTAAAAAGTCATGGAATTAGAGATTAAAAATTTGAACTTTCCACTCTTTTTTTTTTAACAAAAAATAATAATAATAAAAAGAACAACCAAGACTATATGAAGATGTATAAACCATTAAGAATGAAAGAATTCTTGACTTTTGAACTTAAAAAGTATTAAACTTCTAAACCAACTATAATTATTTTTTTTATAAATCGTCATAGAAGTTGAATATCGATAATCACTTTTTTTCGTGTGGTATATTATACTTTCAATGATTGAACCTTTTTTTTATTTAAAAAAACTATCGATTATATAAATTTAGATATATATATATAAAAGATGGTGTCCTTGAAAATTTGGCATCATGCAACACCCTTATTTAGGTAAATTATTGGACTTCTACTTGCAATAGACCGTTCTCCTTCCTTATAATTAAGAATAGTCACTTTCCAAGGAGACCAACACATAGAGGCAATTAAACAACAAATCACCTTCCTTATAATAGAAGATTGGAGAGTACAAGTGAAGACATTAAAAGTTGATGCAAAAGTAAACAACAAATCACATAGAGACAATTCATAGCATTCATTTTTTTATGTGTTTAGAATCTGTAATGACCTTAGATTCTTATTTAACCTAAAGTCACTATTGTATACATCTCATAAACATTTTATGGGAAAATACTATATTCAAAACTTTATCAAAAAAATTTGTGGTGGACTTACATGTTTTCTAGAAGGTCTTTAAAATAAAATACAAAAAATTGAAATAACATAAAGTAAAACCGCCCTAGACTAACCTATATGCTACAAAATTAAATGCATACTAACTTAAACTAATGTATAATCTACGAAATTAAAATTTTGCGAACTCCCCTATGCATGTGTCATGGTTTCCTGAGTTGCAATTCCACCGTCAGCCGTACAAGGGAGCCTTGCCTTTACCTGAAAAAATAAGAGTAGCACACGACTTGAGTATTTTGATAAATACTTAGTAAGTGGCACGCTATTTGGGTTAGATGCAAGCACATACAATCATGAGTGGGACCTTTCATATTAGTGTATGTTTCTCAGGCAACTATCCTAAGCCAGTTAATGTGATGTGTATATAATGTTCTACTCATGATCTACACGTACGAGTACAAACCCACCCATCGGTTCGCACACCTCTTGGGCCCCTTTCTTGTCATGCAAGCATTATCTTAGAGCTGTTAATGTTGGACACCTGTTAGAAATAGCGACCTTCATAGCATTTTAACAATTATAATGATCATTTCCTTGTCTTGTAGTGTACGCATTCGTACCATTGTAAAAGATGAAGGGGTATCCCCCGGTGCATGAACACACAATGATACATGAGGTCCCAACATTTTTTCTTTCATCATGCTGTACAACAAAACCTCTAGCATTTTTCTCTATATAATATGATTCTATCATAACTTTCTATGCATATATTGAGGTTGTGCATTATGTCAATTGATCACATTGCTTGTCAATCATATCATATCATATATCTCTTGATGTCAAACATATGTCATATCATAAACTTTCCATGTCTTTTAACGTATCATAACATCATATCACATCACAAAACAACATCATCATACAATATAGTCACAACATCATTGAAATAAAGCATAAATGATACGTGCAAGGACTACTAGGCACGTTTCATCATACATCAAACAAGTCGTCCAACGTAGCAGATAGTAAGACAACTTATTTGATTGGCCGTAGTCAACTTTTTTCTAAATTCGAGTATGTTTACTTTTCGTCCCTCAAAATTGCTCCAAGTATGATCGATTGTCGTTTCCTATTAGAACATCCATCTTGTTTCGTTAGTAACTTAAATTTCTTAACTCAATTTAACATAAGCCAGAAAAATAGAACCTTACACTGACCTCTCAAGACAACTCATCGAGTGTTGGATTGTTTTCATAATCAATTCTCACAAAAGAATGGTCTTGCAATTTTTCAGCTATAAAAGTCGATAGCAATGATGTCAAAGGGACCATGACACTGTCAGTATATTTCGCCAAGCTCAAAGCACTCTAGGATGAATTGGAAGCGCACCGCAGACCATTTACCTATAATGATTGTCAAATACATGTTGATCAATGGGAAGAAGATAAGTTGATACAACTACTCATGGAGATCAATGAGTCTTATAATAAGGTGACATCTATCATATTGATGATGACTTCATTACCTAATGTGTTACAAGCCTATTTATTACTTGTACAAGAAGAGATGCAACGTCAGGTAACTCTTGAATCTACTAAAAATTTCTCAATTGCAACAGTTGTGTCTATAGTCCGCAACAAAATGGAGTTGTAGAGCGTACATATCGTCATATCCTAAATGTAGCTAGGTCTCTTCTCTTTTAGTCACCGGTTTTACTTAATTTTTGGGGAGTGCATTTTAATGGTTGTTTGTCTTATAAATAGAACACCACCACCATTGTTATCTAACAAGACACCACGTTACAAACGACCACCTACATTTCATCATCTTAATGTTTTTGGCTATAAATTTTATGCAATTATAATACATCCTAAACAAAAATTTGAATCTCGAGAATTTCCTTGTGTTTTCATAGAATATCTTAGTGTTCACAAGGTTATAAGTTGGACGACATACCATTTAACAAATTGTTTATAAGTTGCGATGTTAAATTTGGTGAAGATGATTTTCCATTTTCATCAGCTTCACAAACTATAAGATTAGCTCATTCATCTCTCATTTTACCACTCCCTGATTCATCTTACTTAAACATCTATTTTCCTCCTATTTCGTCATCTCCTTCA